GGCGGGGCGGGGCGGTGGGGGGTACGGCATGGTTGTGGGTGTTGATAAATAAAACAATCCCATAGCACTGAAGCACTGAAATACAGGGGGGAAAATATAGAAAGGGGGAAAAAATCAATAATTAAACAACACTGCGTCGTCAGTGTTGGTATTGTATCAGACACTTGCACTTAACATGAAAATCAAGCTCAAATGGAGTTAACAAGATTTTTGTCCAGCGAATGACGGAGATGAGATCTGTGTTTTCACAAAAACAGACACTATGTTACAGACATAGTGTTTGAGTAAAGAAAACACTGTACTATTCAAACATCAGTTATTTATTTAACCTTGCATTGCGAAAAAGCGGAGATCTGTCTCCTGTAGGCTGTGCGCGGCGAATCAATCTGAATGGAGGCGGGGTGAAGTTACGAGGTTTCGCTCACAGCTTGAGGATCCAATGGCGTTACGAAGTTTTACTGACAAGCTCTTTTTAATGCCTATCATTGGTTAAATATTTGTAAAACCCGCTGATTTAAAATAATAATAACTAATTATAATAGAGATGTGCATGACTGTTTGAAAATTAGTGAGGTATGGGGTGGGGGTAAAAATTGTGCTATAATAACCCCACATACAACTCATTATATAGGCTACTCACTTTAAAATAGACAGATAAAGATGTTTGTGAAAGATGTTTTCTCTGTTTTGGAGGAATGAGCATTGTTAAATTATATCATATTGCACCATTACTTTAGGTTAGGGATATAATATTATCAGTTGTTTATTAGTCATTCAACAATACTTAGGCCTATTACTGTAAGAGTTTTCATTAATAACCTATATAGATGATAACTTAGTGCTCTAATGAATGTTGTTGGCATGACTTTGTGAACATTTAACTACAATACTCAATGAAATAGCATATACTTACTTGTTTTACATATCTCTTCGCTAATGTTATATGCTACTGTTTTGATAGCGTTGATAACGTTTCTGACAGATAATTTCATGATTTTTTTTTTGTGTGTGTGTTTGCCTTACCGAATGTAGTATCATGTCAGCAATCCTGTCAGTGCAGTCTGTGGGCTCTTTTGATTACTATCAGCTTATGTTAACATTGCAGTGTTGCCAGATATTGCTATGAAAACAAATAAAAACTGAAAAAAAAATTTAAAAATAAACCGAAATGAGTTCAAATCTTTTGTAAATATGATAAGATAAAGATATCGCTAACCCTAAACTGCAAATTCCCACTCTATTAACTTTCTAAAGTGTCAAATTAAGTAGAACATACAAGTCCAAATATGCTAATAATAGCCGGATCTGGTGTTGTGACATTTTATACTACCCGTCAGATTTTCCTACAAGGGTTTACTGCACATGCGCACATCAATATTGCGTCCTTTTTCTCACGCTGAACAACAATATTTAATCAACCCGGCAGAAGCTGCGCCTGCACCCTCACTGACTACGTTTTTACATGGACATCAGTAATCTAATTATTTACCCTATTCTGAATAAGACAATATTACGATTAAGGTGTTTACATGAGTTGCTTTTAGAATATTCCTTTCATGTTCCCGTTTTATATGTTATAGTACATAGATCGATTAATGGCATATGTAATTACGTCACCACGCGACGCCATCCAACGTGCCCTCCAGAATTTCACGTATAAACATATAGTTCGTCTTCGTTATGATGCCATATACAGTTTTGGGTGTTTATCTTTTTATTTACTGAAAGCTTCAAGTGCAGATAATTATTTGTCATGCTATACGTGCAAACAGACGACAGTAATAATGTGTACATGTCTTTACTGCACTTAAATAATGCGACTGAAATAGGAATACTCCACATGTTTTAAATTGATTAGTGTTTACTTCGATTATGACTTTAGCCGGATTAAGGTAATCAAAAATCTCTGTTTACATGGTAGATTCTAAATCAGAGTATTGTCTTAATTGTATTAAAATCGGAGTATCGTTGTCCATGTAAACGTACTGACTCACAGTTCTCTAAATCCTTGTTCACTCCGTCAGCATCTCGCAGCGCTCATTTTCATACCACAGGCACTTAACATTCTTGCAAACTGTCTAAACTTAACTATACATGCAGACACTCATATGAGGAGCTTGAAACAGCAGATTAGTTATTTAGAAAACATTTTATTTTTAAAGATGAAAAATTTACTGAGGTCCGGACCTCATAGCTGGCTATGGGCATGACAATGTGAAGTTTGGATCATTTTTCACGGCACACCTGACTGGGCTAGGGTATCGCAACTGCCATACTCTGCCATACAGAAACGCCGCCCCTGTTCTCTCTTGTTTTGTACTGGATAGGAAGAGGAAGAAGGTGAGATCATGCATGCTTAACATAGCTTAACCACAGAGTGTTTCTAAACCAGTCACACTGAGTCTGACTAAACCTCAACAAACATCAGCATTGTAACGTCTGGACCACTCAAACACACAATATATATTTTGTTAGCTAGATTTCACAAATACTCTGTAACACCCCAGGACGCAGAACAGGACACTGGTTTCATGGTAACCCGATACATTTACAACCTTGTGGAATGCGAGCAGACTCTCAGCTGCATTCTCCAGAAGCAAGAGGCACAAATGCACAGTAGAAATTGACTTTTCTACTAATTAATTCATAGGAAAACCTTTCTTTGAATGAACACACATATTCTTCAGGCCATTGTGTATATTATTGCTGTTTTGTATTAATCTGTTGTATTATAGACTATTTTTAT